GCACTGAAAGGCAGCCAAGGTCCTGTCACTGGGGCCGATGGACAGAGACAGCCCCGTGCGGATGAGGGCAGGGAAAATCCTGCTGGCAGCGCCGGGAGAACAGTGCGGAGGGCACAGGGAGCGGTGGCAGGAAGGAGGAGCGGTGCCTCCCCGGGGAGACTCCTGGCACTGCTTTGTTTGCTCTTTCCGAATTGGTCTGTGAAACCTGAATCCTGGGACCAAGGAAGCTTGTCACAGGCTGCTGGCCGGCATGGGAGATGGATCGGGCAGCGGGGGACACCACGGATGGGTGTGACAGGGCCTGACCTGCCCTGCAGCTGGAACATCTGCACTGGGAGAGCAGCTCCTGCGACTGGGAGCCCGTGCCTGGCTGGGCGCTCATTGGCTTTGCCGAAGACAATCCTGCTGCCGAGCAGGCTGCTCTGGTCTAGGCAAGGAGCTGGTATGAGAATTGCTGGATAACTTGGAATTCAGTGCCAATTCAGTCCTAAACTGGGGGCACTGGGGAGTCCCAGTTGCTGCGGGTGCTTCGGTGGAGGTTTGGTGCTGGTTCCGGTGGAGTCCGTGGTGCTCCAGCGTTTCCCAGCGCTGTCCCACTGCTGTGGAGCCAGCTGGACGTGGAGATGTGCCCCACTCATGGCCTCTTTGAGGTGGCTGCTCCTCCTGGGCTGCAGGATGCTGGCAGAGGGGCTGTCCCCAAAGCACTGCCAGCAGCCGATGTCCCTGTGCCATGTGTGACCAGCCACCTCCTGGACACACTCGGCTTGTCCTGAGTGCCTTTGGATGGTCCTGGGGTGGCACGTGGATGCAGGAGCCCTTTCCCTGTGCCTGTTCTGCTGCTTTGGGTGAGGTGGGAGGTGGTGGCCGGCCTGGCTGGAGGCTGCCTGGCCATGGTGGGTGCTGGTGGCTCCGAGCCTTGGTGCGATTCCTGTCCTGCCCCCACAGCCACGTTGTCCTCGTTAGGCCAAGGTGCCTTTGCGAGCCCTCCCTGGGCTCCAGCGTGCCACAGCCCCTGGGAAGCACAGCTCATATCTGGTGTGCGGGTCCCAGCGGCACGGAAGAGGAGAGGATGTCCCTGGAATGGGGTCAGGCAGGAATGGAGGTGGCAGGGGCTGGAAATGGAGTGGGGCCCTGCGAGGCAGCAGCTCAACGTGAGGCATGGCCAAGGCACCACTGGCCCCTCGTTCCAGTGACACCAGGGTGGTGCTGGCATGTGGAGAACTGGGAGAGGGGACGGCTCTGGCAGGGCCCAGGGCGTGACTTTGCTGGCTCAGTGTGTTGTTTAGGGGAAACAGGGCAGGTTTGGAAGCTGGTTGGGGTGTGGAGGGAGGGAGGTCGATCCTGAGGGATGTCCTGGCCTCCAGCCTGCTGGGCTCGGGTGGGAGTCGGTGTTACCTGCTCATAACTGCAGGTTTGGGGATGGGAATGGAGAAAGATCAAAGCTCTGCCAAGTGCAGGGACAGAGCAGTGTGGGCCTGTGCCCATCCCACTGCTGCATTTCACATTGCTCCCCTCTTTGAAGAGGAATCTGGGTTTTGCAGAACCCTGCCCTGCGTAGATTTTCCCTTAATTTTCCAAATTCCTTGCCTCAGAACAGCCCATGGTGCGAGTCGCAGCCCCTGGTGCTCACCCGTGCATCAGGCTCAGCCCAAACCCTTTTCCTGTAGCCTCTCTCAATAACCGGGTTGTTTTTCTGTCAGACTCTGATGTGGCCAGAGGGATTTTTTTTTCCCCCTTTTTCCCTCTTAATGTCCAAGCAGCCGCTGCTCCAGCAGCCTCCTCTGCGGGAGCCTGGGGCAACTCTCCCGGGCGGCCTCTGCTCCTCTCAATGAGCTCCTAATGAGTTTGCAATTAGTTATCGGCAGAGCCGATGTGCCCAGGGCTGGGCGTGCGGCGGAGCGGGATGCAGAGCAGGGCAAAGCATCCTCCAGCAGGGAACGGCGCTGGGGCAGGATTGTCGGTGCCATCCTCGGCTCCTGGCAGGATGCTGGGCTGTGGAAATGGGATAATATCCTTCCGGGATGTGCTCCACGGCGCTGGGGATGGAGCCGGCAGGTTTGGGAAGAGGAGCGGCAGCTGCCGACGGGAGACGAGCGGCTGCCTATAAATACCTGCCAGGGAGCAAGGAAGAGGTGGGTGGATTATCCTCCTCACTCAATGAGATAAACGGTTCTGAAGCTTAAACACAGAACAATTTTAGTCTGAATAGTAGGAGAAATGGCTCGGGATGCGGAGATGACGGCAGGAACCGCCTGTGGCGAGCGGCAGGTCCCGGGGCCACGTGGCAGCAGCAGCCACAGCAACTCCGGGATCCTGAGCCCGGGGGGGCTTTGCCGGGACTCGGATGGGATGCTCATCCTCCCTCCTTGCTTGGGAAAGCTCCTTCAGCAACACCTGGAACTGAGCTGGAATGGTGTGTTTGTGTTCCTTCGGACATGGTGCTGACTCTGCCAGGGTTTTGGGGCGGGAGAGGAGTTGGGGTGCTGGGAAAAAGCCCCGTTCTGGCTCTGGAGTGACCTGATGTGGCTGCCCAAGTGCTCCTCGGTGTCACTGGCCCGGCTGCAGAAGGATGTGGGACCTCAACCCCGGCCAGGCCAAGCTGGTGGCATCTGCTGCCACACTGGCACTGCCATCCCTCCATGTCCTGCTGTTCCCCATCCCTGCTGTCCCTGGGAGTGCACGGAGCTGGAACCGAGCTCTCGCTGCCTCCTGCAGCTGCCCCGCTTCGCTGCTCACGTCAAATCCAACATGTTTTCAAAAGCCTTTCAATTTTTAATGAAAACTTCTGCGTTTACACTTTCCTTGGCCTCGGCACGTCGGTATTTTGGTCGCTGCTGCTGTTTGGCTTCTCCTGGGATCGGTGGTGGCCCCGTGTTCCCGTCAGCCCTGACGAGGCAGGGTTGTTGCTCGGAGCTGGCCGTGGCACTGCGGCAGGATCCCAGCACATCCCAATCCCTGGCAGCACATCCCGGTGCCAGCTGTGCCAGCCCACGCCGCAGCACGGGACCTGACTTGGCACCCCTGCTTCCCGTGATGTTCCTCGGTTGCTGCTTGGGAAGGAGACACCTGGAAACCCCAACAGGCTGAGCCAAGGGGAAAAACAAACAGCCCTTTACTTGGAGAGCACTTCCACAAGCTGCCAGTCCTCCCTCTCCTCTCTCCCATCCAACCAGCGGGGTTTTTCCTCAAACCCAGCCTTCCCAACTTGAATAATTGCATTTCAACGCCGGTTAATTAAGGGACATTGATGAGCGCAATCGTAAATCCAAGCGTAGCCGGAATTCTTCGTGCAGGATGCTGGGGGCTGTTCCCAGCGAGCTGCTGCTGATCCACCTCCACCTCCAGCACCCAGACACTGAGATGGTGCTCCTCTGCCAAGGGGCCAATGAAACACTATGGAGATGAGCTGCTTCGGAGATCTTATGAGTCAAACTGTTACATTTTTGGAACATCATGATGTTGAAGTTCCTTTTCTATTTTTTCCCCAACTTCCCAGGGAAAAAATATAACTATAATAAGTGAAGAAGCTGAGCTTTGGTTTGGGATGACAAGCAGCACGGTGGGGGGAAGGAAGGAAGGAAGGAAGGAAGGAAGGAAGGAAGGAAGGAAGGAAGGAAGGAAGGAAGGAAGGAAGGAAGGAAGGAAGGAAGGAAGGAAGGAAAAGTTGGAGATCCAACTCAGCCTTATTGGGAAGGGGCTGGGAGGATCCTTGTGTGGGATCCTGACCGTGGGGTGCTGCAGGTGCTTTGTGGGGTGTCTGGCACCATTTGGGGTTGCTGTCACAGCCCCCGTGTGGGTCTGAGCCCATGGGCACCACCTGAGCTCTCTCTGTCCATCCTCATCCACCTGCAGCCCTCCATGTCCCTGCCTGCCCAGGGTTTGTGCTTGTGCAGTGATGGAGGGTGAGGCAGTGCCCTGAAGACATCAGAGGAGATGCTGGGTGGTTTCACTGCAGTGGTGGTGTGGTGGGTGACTCCGAGCTTGGATCTTCTCGTGGGAATGGTCAGAGTGAGGAGAAAACTATCCCTGGTTTGTTGGGAGTGAGGAATGTTGGTGCTGGCTGGGTCAGCCTCTGCTCTGCTTTGGTGAGATCCCACCAGGAATGCTGCATCCAGCTGTTGGTCCTCAGCACAGGAAAGACATGGATATGTTGGAACAAGTCCAGAGGAGGCCACAGTGATGATTATTGGGATGGAACACCTCTGCTGTGAGAAAAAGCTGAGAGAATTTGGATTGCACAGCCTGGAAAAGAGAAGACTGGGGAGACCTTAAAGCTCGTTTCAGTGTCTAAAGGGGCTCCAGGAGAGCTGGAGAGGGACTTGGGACAAGGACCTGGAATGAAAGGACACAGGGAATGGCTTCCCACTGCCAGAGGGCAGGGTTAGATAGATGGGATCTTGGGCAGGAATTGTTCCCTGGGAGGGTGGGCAGGCCCTGGCACAGGGTGCCCAGAGAAGCTGTGGCTGCCCCTGGATCCCTGGCAGTGTCCAAGGCCAGGTTGGATGGGACTTGGATGTTGGGAGAGATGTGAGGGAGGGGTTTGCTGCAGAGCCATTGTGTCCCCCCTGGTGCCTGGGCACAGCCCTGGTTCTGCTCTGGAGTTGGAATACATCAGGCAGCCCTGGTTGCTTTGAGGTTCAGCTCTGGAGGGGCTCAGGACTGGACAGGGCTGGCTCTTGGGGTCCCCACTGGGGACACAGCAGCAGAGGGGACCCCAAAAGGCCTTAGCTCCTGTCCTGCACTGTGGCTGTGAACACACCAGGCCTGAGAAAATGTGTCCATGTGTGTGTCCCTGTGTGTCCGTGTCCCTTTCTCCTGTCCCTGTCTCTGCCATGCCTGAAGCCCTCCCTTTTACCCCAAACATCCCCCACGGAGGCTGGAGCATCCCCTCCAGAGCCACTGGGGTTGGTGGCCCCGGGGTACAGAGGGGTGGGGGCTGCTCAGGAGCCGTGGTTGCAGCCCTGGGGATGGGATGGGATGGGATGGGACACAATGGCTCTGCAGCCCCCACGGAAGCAGTGCCACCTCTGCCTTGCAGCGCCACCATGAGCGCGGGCTCGATTGAGCAGGAGCCGTCGCGCAAGCTGGGCTGCTGCGGGGTGCCCCTGATCACCGAGGACATGCAGTCCCTGGCCATCCGCACCCTCTCGGGCACCGACATCACCAAGCACTATGACCTCATCCGTGAGCTCGGCAAGGGCACCTACGGCAAGGTGGACCTGGTGTCCCACAAAAGCACAGGTGAGGGGAGCGGGGCTGGGAGCGGTGCTGGGAGCGGGGGACCCGCTCTGTCCCCGCCCAGGGCTCACTCCTGTTCCCTGCCCTCCACAGGCACCAAGATGGCCCTGAAGTTCGTCAACAAGAGCAAGACGAAGCTGAAGAACTTCCTGCGGGAATTCAGCATCACCAACACGCTCTCCTCCAGCCCCTTCATCATCAAGGTCTTCGACGTGGTCTTCGAGACCGAGGACTGCTACGTCTTCGCTCAGGAGTACGCCCCTGGTGGGGACCTCTTTGACATCATCCCGCCTCAGGTGGGACCCCAGCAGCTCCCTGGGAGCCTCTGTGGGATGTGAGGGCTCAGGGAGTGCTGGGAATGCTTTGTGCCCATGTGGGAGGGGGTGCAGGTGCAGGGACTGGGCACCTCTGTCTGGGCTGAGCTTGACCACAAGCACCTGCAAACAGGTGTGGGACCCATCACCCTTCCCCTGGGTGGCCTAAGATCCATCACCTGTCTTTAGGATGTGCTCAGACCCATCACCCTTCTTCTGGGGAAGTTGTGGCTGCCCCATCCCTGGAAGTGTCCAGAGTCAGGTTGGATGGGGCTTGGAGCAGCCTGGGACAGTGGGAGATGTCCCTGCCCAGGGCGGGGGTTGGAACTGGACAATCCTTAAGGTCCCTTCCAACCCAAATCATCCTGTGGGGAGCCTGAGACCCACCACTCATCCCTTGGGTGGCTCAGGACCCACCACCATCCCCTGCTTACCTAATAAAAGCACCCATGACCTTCAGACCAGAGATGTGGGTGCCCGGGCTGGTGGTACCCCACAGGGCTGGGTGCACCCCACAGGGCTGGGTGTACCCCACAGGGCTGGGTGCACCCCACAGGGCTGGGTGTACCCCACAGGGCTCACGGCAGGTGACTGACACCGTGTCCCCCCGCAGGTGGGGCTCCCCGAGGAGCTGGTGAAGCGCTGCGTGCAGCAGCTGGGCCTGGCCCTCGACTACATGCACAGCAAGAGCCTGGTGCACCGGGACATCAAACCGGAGAACGTGCTGCTCTTCGACCGCGATTGCCGCCGCGTCAAGCTGGCGGATTTCGGCATGACCCGCAAGGTGGGCTGCCGGGTCAAGCGCATCAGCGGCACCATCCCCTACACGGCGCCCGAGGTGTGCCAGGCCGGCCGCGCCGAGGGCTTCGCCGTGGACACCAGCATCGACGTCTGGGCTTTCGGGGTGCTCATCTTCTGCGTCCTCACCGGGAACTTCCCCTGGGAGGCGGCGGTGGCGTCCGACGCCTTCTTCGAGGAGTTCGTGCGGTGGCAGAAGGGGCGGCTGGCGGGGCTGCCCTCGCAGTGGCGGCGCTTCACGGACAGCGCCCTGCGCATGTTCCAGCGCCTGCTGGCCCTCGACCCCGAGAAGCGCTGCCCCGTCAAGGACGTTTTCTACTTCATCAAGTGCGACCTCATGGCCGAGGTGCGGTGCCGGCCCTCCTACCGCTCCCGCAAGCACGCCAGGGACAAGCTCCCGGCCGGGCCCCACTGCCACGAGCCCGGCGGCTCCTGCACCCCCGCCCCGCTCAAGAGGACCGTCCTGACCGAGGGGAGCGGAGCCCGCGGCCCCGAGCCCGGCGCAGCCGCCCCGGGCACGGCGAGCAGGACAGACGGACGGCAGGACAAGGGCAAGGGGCAGATGGTCCTGGCCACAGCAATAGAGATCTGCGTGTGACGGCGGCTGCGCGACCCGCCCCGAGCCCCCGCCCCGGGGACAGGGATGGGGGAGCGCATCCTGGTGGTGGCACGAGTCGGGACCGGGCTATGGGTTTCCGAAAGAAGAAAAAAAAAAAGAAAAAGGAAAAGAAACACAATCGAAGAGGAAAAGGACAGAACTGGTTGCGCTCTGTAGCGCCGAGGATGCCGATCCCCCCCGTCCCTCCTGGGCGAGGCCAGGGGCACCCACAGCCCTGCCACGGCTGTGCTGCTCCCCCCAGGCTCTCCCCAGCGTGGCCGTACGGGGAGGGCTCTCCCAGTACGGGGAGGAAGAGTCGGGGGCAATGGGTGGTGGGTGCCCCACTGGCTCTGCCCCCACCCCCTGCTCCACCCCTGTCCGGGGAGCGGGAAGGCCGATGACCCTGCACCGTGGAGGAGGCCTTTGGGGAGGTTTGGGTGGGTGGTGATTTGCCCTCTTCCTCTGGTCCCTGCCGCACTGCTGGGGACCGGGAGGGGATGGGGAGGTGGGTGACGGGGAGCCGGGGGGTTGCCGGCAGCCCCGGACCCCCGGCAGCCCCGGCTGCCTCCCTGCCGTGGGAGGTGCTGGCAGCCATTGATGTAGCAAGTGTCCCTGTCTGTGTGTCTGTGTGTCCCAGCCACTGCCACTGGCAGCCCCTGTCCCCCTGTCCCGCCCGGCTCAGGCCCTGCCAGGGGTGGGTCCCTCTGGCCGGAGCTGCGCTCGGGGCTGTGCCCGGCGGGCGCGGTGCCGCCATCCCGCAGGTTGGATGCTCGGGGCCGGGCTGGCTCTGCCGTGCTGGCGTCCCCGTGGTCCCCCTGCAGCCCCTTTGTACCCAGGGACGGGAGGAGGTGGCAGCGGTGCCCCCCAGGCTGGCCTGCACAGCCCGGGAGCAGGGCAGGGAGCTCCGAGTGGCCTCCCGCGGGCCCGCCCGCTTCTCTGTGCTGTCCCCATCACCCCTCCTTGCTGTCACCCCTTCCCCAAAGCTGTCACCCTCCCCTGGGGCTGCCGGGGAAGCGGCAGCGGGATAGACCCTGCCGGGGCTGGCTGCGGCGTGGTGGCAGCAGCCACTGGTGGCCCCTTAGTGACAAGGTCCTGGGGTGTGTGTGGAGGTCCCACCTTCCCTCCTGGATCTGGGCACCCAGCAGAGCGGGGAGCTCACCCCACCGCGGCGGTGGGGAAGCTGTGGGGGCACCCCAAGGCAGGAGCACCCTGCTGTGGTTCGGGCTTCCCTCCCACGGGGTGGGTGCCGTGGGGCCGCCCCGGTGCCCCAATTCCCCACAAAGGGCTATAACGCTTTCCAGCAGCAGCAGCAGCAGTTTACAGAGCAGGGGCCGCCCCCAGCCCCCGCCGTGCCCCCGTCCCCGGCACCCCCCGGGCCCGGCGTTAGACGTAGCATTGCCCCACGTAGAGAGCTAGGCACCGGTTTTACTCCTCTTTGCCTTAGGTCCCTCGATGTCCTCGATCTTTCGTGCAATAATGTAGATAAGGGATCCCGGGTGCCCCGGGAGGGCTCGGTGGCACCGCCCGGGGTGTGTCCCAGGGGGTGCTCGGTGTGATTTCTGTCCCCGTCGAGGTCGCTGTGTCCGTAGGTTGTCAGGTTTTTATTTCCAGTTCCCTCAGCTGTCGGGTTTCGGACCTTCTTCCCGTAGGAGAGGCTGTAGTGTCACAGACGTTACCTCAGTTTGTCACTGTTGAAAAGGATTTAAAAAAACCACAACTGAAACCATAAAAAATTACAAAATACATAGTTATAAAAGCAACAAAAAATTTCTCAATGGCGGTGACGACTTTTTTTTTTTAATTATTAACTGAAGGAAACGTGATGCTGCTCGTGCGGGGGTGGAGGGCGCGGCCTCTGCCCTGCCGTGGCCTCGGGAGTGGCTGTCCCTCCACTTTCCCCCTGTCACCATGGCCATCCCGGGAAAGGGAGAGAAGGGATGTGGGGAGCAGCACCCATGGGTGGGGGGCACCCAGCAGCCCTCGGTGCAGCCCCCTCCGAACAGCCAGGGCTGCCTGATGCCGAATGTATTCCAGCCACGTCCGCAGGCTAATTTCAATTTCCTGGTAATTATGCAAATGAATGTGGATTTAATTAAGGGCAGATTTCATTAAAGTCTTCTTGGGGAAATGAGAGCAGGGTGGGGGAGAGCGAGGAGGAGGAGGCGGCGGCGGTGGCAGGGAAGCAGAGATGAAGGCAGCGCCTGCCCCGGAAGATAAATGGCCCCAGGGGATGCGGAGGGGATGGACGGGATCCTTTGGGAGTGGGGACCCCACTGCAGGAGGCCAGGGCTGTGCGGGGCACGGCTGGGGCAGGGCGGGGATGGATGAAGCCCAGGCAGTGCAGCAGCCCTGGTGCATCCCCAGCCCCGCTCCGGGGACCGGGCAGCGAGTCCTGCTCATCCCCTGCTCCAGCAGCGACGGCTCCCGGCTCCTTCCTTCCCACCAGGACAGGGAAAGCATTGCTCTGACACGTGATTCGTATTTTTCTCTTCCCCGGCTAAAAATACAGATTTGGCCACCCCGAGAGGTCTAGGAAATCAATGTCATTGTCACCAGGCGCTGGCTGGCAGGACTCTCCCCTCCCCGATCCAGACAAAAAAGGGATCGCTGCCATTTGACGTCTCCGAGCCGAAGCGTTCGCGCGGCTCCAGCGGAGCTGCCTTTAATCCAAAGTGAAACGGGGCTAATTTTATCCCGGCAAGGTCGGGATGCTGCGAGCCCGGCAGCGCCGGAGGGGCAGGAGCTGCTTGTCTCCAGGCAAAAGCTTCAGCCACAAAAAGCGGAGCTAAAGTTTGTCAAGCCACCACCCGCAGGGCAGAGGTGTCACCTGCCCGGCAAAGGTGTCACCTGCCCGGCAGAGCTGCAACCTCCCCGCCTCCCCTGCGGGTTTGCTCCCCGGTTCGGCCGGGAAGGCGGCCCGGACATGCCGGGGTCACAGCCGCTGACCTTGGGCAGTCCCCGGGCGAAGGATGAGCAACACAATCAGTGCTCTGAAAGGAAAATAATCCTGGATTTGGACAGATCCTGCAGGAGCGGAGGGAAGAGGGATGGGGTGGCAGGTGGGGAATGGTGTGGGTGTGGGTGCAGCATCCCGTAAAACCAGATCCTTCCGAGCTGGGAAGGCCAGGAAGGGCCGGCTGTGACACTCAGCTGCTGATCCCGCCTCGGATTTCATCCACCCCTCGGTTCCGGAGCTGGATTGTGCCCGGTTTTCCTCACAGACACTTGGTGAGGCACTGCAGCCCCAGCTAAAACACTGGGGGTTGGGAGTAAAAATAACTGGGAATGATCCGCTCTTTGGGAGCACAATGATCAACGCCAAGCTGGCATTGCACGAAGTCCCACCCCGAGCGCAAACAAACCCTTTAAAAGGTAATATTTTGCCACTAGGATGGTGCTTCAGCTCGCTGCTGACTCAGGAGGGGCCGTGGGATGAGGAGGGAGTTCCCACGCATCCCGAACAGCGCGGGCAGCTTGGGGTCCGGACTGCCGGGGGCTTCCCCAGCCCGGCTCGGGGACACGGGGGACGCCAGCCCGGCGTGGGGGGCATCCATTAACTGCGCTTCTCGGGGCCGATCCGCTCTCTAGAACTTCCAAAAATAGCGGCGGCACCGCGCTGGAATGGGCGTAGGGAGGAAGTGTGACTCATGTGGCACCCGGCACCCCGGCGGAACCGGGCAGGAGCCCGAGCGGGAATGCGGGAACGATGCGGGAATGATGCGGGAATGCGGCAGGAATGGCAGCAGGCACGGGGACATCCCGATGCTCTTTCTGGTGGCAGCAGACTGTCCACGGAGAGGACGCAGCTCGGGCTCGTCCCTGCCTGTCCTTCCCGCGGGGACCCGCTGCTGTGTGCCATTCCAGCTGCCAGGGATGATGGACACATGTCAGTCAAGGCCTGGCAGCGGCCAGCGGGAATGAGCTGCTGGACACAGACAGCAAAAACTGTCCCGAGCTGGGGAAAACTCAGCGTGGTAAGGCTCAGCAGGCCCTGGCTGGAGGGAGAGGTGACCTTGTGTGACATTCAGCCACCTCTGGGAGGAGGGAGAGCAGCGCTGGCTGTACCTCCAGCCCCAGCCCAGCTCGCAGCGCATCCGAGCGTGCTGGAAAGAGCCCTGTGAGCATCCCACAGCTCCCGGGCAGCCCCTGCCAGGTGCTGGCTGCCTTTGCTGCAGCCCCAGCCAGCCGGGGATCTCGGCTCGGGCACAGGGAAGGGAGCAGGAAGCTCCTGAGGGAATCTGCCTGCATCTCCCACCTGGCCCCGTGCTCCCCACCCCGGCTTTGGACACATTTGTTCACCCAAAGGTGTTTTTTCCCCCATGGAAAAGGCGGCGTTTTCAGCAGGGTCCTTTGGCTGATGGATGGGTGGGGGTGTCAGCTTTGGGAGGAGGGGGTTGATGGCAGTTTTGGGGTGTGTGGAGGTGCCAGGCCCCGGGGGGGGCTGGGGGAGCACCCCCAGCCCTGAACACCCCCACCCTCAAAGGGGTGGGCTATGGGCTCAGGCTCGCAGGCCTCCCACGTTGCCATGACAACTGCAGCATCCCAGCTTGGCAGGGATGGGAAATCTCCATCCCATCACCGCCTGGCCTGGACACGGCTCTGGATCTGGCACAGGCAGCATCCCAAACCCACGGAGGAGCACGAGGTGCAATTCCTGCAGGTTCTGAGGGCTGGGCCACGCTCCTCCTTCCTGCACAGCCCCCCCAGAGCCACACGGCTGCCAGGGCAGGGGCAGGAGAGATTTCTGCTTTTCACGTGTGGATCTTCCCATGCCAAACCCTTCCACCTGCTCTCCATTTATGGGGTCCTGGCAAGCAGAGCATCTGCCAGGCTGCCCCCACACTTTCCTGTCTTCTCTGGGGGGAACAAAGTGGGCAGTGGGTCACAGATCACGGACCTTGCTGCCCCAATTGGCCCAGATTTGGGGGCAGCAGAGCCAGGGGTCTCTAGGCTGGTGTTACCCCATTAACAGGAGCATCCTCACTTGCTCTCTGCAGCCTCCCAGCCACTCAGC